TTCCTCTCCCCTTGTCTTGCCTCCTTTCCACCTCTGCATGTGATTGAAAAAGAGAGAAAACAATGCGAGGGAAAAGGGCGAGAAAGACAGAAAGCGGAGCGAGACAAGAGATCAGCAGGCGCATTGGTTTTGTCCTTTAACTTGGACTTGGACTGTGTGTGTGTGTGTGTGTGTGTGTGTGTGAGAGAGAGAGAGAGAGAGAGAGAATGAGAGTGTGTGTGTGCCCTTTTTTTTTCTCCCCCCTCTTTCTCACCAACCTGCCTCGGACCTGCAGGTTCAGATACAAAGTAAGTGGTGCGAGGAGCGAGTGTGTCACTGTTGTGTGCATGCACTACATGCATGTGTGCGCGCGTGCATGTGTGTGTGTGTGTGTGCACGTACAACCTCCCTCCCCCCCTCCACCCCCCTCCTCACCCCTCCTCTCTCGCGTCGGTGAGGCAGCATACTGGTATGCTTCACTGGCACTGTGGCCCCGGCTGCAAGCACTGATTCTGCGGCTCGATGCTTTAAGCTCTGCTCTCCGTCACTTTCTCTTTCTCGCGCCGTCTACCTGTTTCCGTCCGTCTGACCTTTCGGGTATTAATTCCCTTCAGCATTTCTCGGGGAAAGAGGAATCGTCTCGCCGACTCTCTCTCGCGACTTCTCTTCCCTGGACTGCTTTGCTCTCGCTCTGGGAGTGTGTGTGTGTGTGTGAGTGTGTGTGTGTGAAAGAGAGAGAGAGAGAGGGAGAGAGAGAGGGAGAGAGCGAGCGAAGAGATAGAGGGAGAGGGAGCGTGCACATGGTTCATTCCGGCTTGGTCCTACCACCCATACTCATCTTTCTTGTCTCCGTCCGTCGCTCTCTTGCCGTTTATTTCGCCCGACTTTGAGCAGCTCGCCGGACAGACCAGCCTCTTCCTCGTGCCGCCTTTTTTTTTTTTTTTTTTTTTGCCCCCCCTCCCTAAATTATTCCAAAACCTTTCTTTTACTTCTGAGCATAATTGGAATCTTGTTGGCATGCTGTAAGTTTAAATCTGAGCTTTCTCTTTCTCTCTGTCTCCTTTTTTTTCCTCCCCTCCCCGAGCAGGCAGCGAGCTACAAGAACAACGAACGATGGGGGCATCCTGGATCCGAAGGGGAGGGTGAGTCGATACCAGCGAATGCTCTTCCTCTCTGCTTCCCTCTCAGCTCCCCATCTGTTTCCTAAGCTTTAGACCACCATGGTAGCATGAAGGAGCCGTAGAGCTTTGTTATCTGGCTGGTCTTTTTCTCTCGTGCAGCCTCTCCGGAGGATTCAGAACCTCTCGCTGAACGGGCGATGAGCGCTGGTAACCGTCGAGCATGCACTGAATGATTTTATTGCACTGTGCGAGATGTGTCAGTCGGACGAGCGTGCAAGTCATCGTGTCGGATGGATTGAATGACGCTGTGCGGTCCCAGCCTCAGATTTCGATGCTGTAATCGATGCATCCACGCGGGGCTTTTGTCTTGCGCGTCTGCCGCAAACAATTAGCGATGAGGGGCTGATTTTGATTTTCCCAGAGACTGCGGGAGATCTGTGAGCGTACTGTACAGCAGCAGGCTCTGTACCTGATGGCAGGAGGCATTTTTCAAAGTGCTGTATTGTTCAGCTGAGGTGGGGGAGGGGGGCGAGGGAGAAAGAGAGAGA